GATAGAGGAAGTGGCTGACATCCAGAAGTCCTACCAGTGGCTGGACAAAGCTGGACTGAAAGACAGCAAAGAGGCACTAATCATGGCCATTAATGGATTGGATGGCTGTGGCTCAGGAGCTAGAGCAGGTCATTTGCGTCAGAGAAGTGATGATTCCTGCTCCAGTCTACATGCCAACGTGTCTTCGGGCAAACTATCAAAACCCCCAAGTTGCTCTTAGATAGAAGAATATAAATGGTAAATGGACTGGTTCTTATATAGCGCTTTTCTACTCTCGCTGAGCACACTCAACTCGTGCATTCACCCAATCATACCCATTGCTCACAATGGGTATGATTGGGTTGCTCACACAAGCACACACAAGCACTTTATCTAAGGTTTTTAGTGCTTTTATCCAACATTCACTTGCATACACACTCCAATGGATGCATCGGAGAGCAACATGGGGTTACACGCCAAGGATATTTGGTATGTAGACTGGAGGAGCCTGGGATCGAACCACCAATCTTCTGGTGAGTAGGTGACCTGCTCTACCACCTGAGCTACAGCCACCCCGCAATGTCTGTGAATGCTATACAGAAAGCACTCAGGCATAGAAAAAAATGCTTGTATTAATGGATGTAATATATATAAAGCACGTATAATGGAATGGAATAAACGAATGGTCAAGCAAGGCAAAAAGCAGGACATAAGAACCGGTCCAATTTCAATATTGTCATGTATTTTATTCAACTAGGATCTCTGCATTGGCTTTTAGCATCTGTATAAAACTCTGATGATGTTTTGGTTATATTTTTGCTGAAATATAGAAAATGTTAAAGTATTGTAAATTATTTCCTGCAACCGTATATCAATATCACACCATGTGCACTATATTACTTCTGCTCTTACACCACTTCTTATTAACACAGAAGTCTGTTTGCTGTTTTATGCAATTCAACAAGTTACAGATGCTTTTCTTCTTTAGAGGTCTCTAACGACCTCTCAGTGCATCCTTGAACAGGTCTCTAATTCCGAAATTTCTATTAAGAGCATTATTCAGCTAACACACGTTTGGTAGCACACTTTGATAGTCAGTGCAGTCCATAGATTGCTGTTAAGCCATATATAAGAATAAATAGTCTTAAATAATCAAAATAACCAGTACAATGATTAATAATCATAAGCAGGAGATATAATCACACTGATATTCAGCTCTGACCACACCTTATTGATGCAGTGCACAAAGTTCAGGGATTTAAAAAAACACTATTTACATCTAAAATAAATCAACGACAAAACCTTTAATTTCAACTCAAATGCCTCTACACCATTTTGATCAAATACACACCATTCTTTGCTAAATAATTTCAACTGATTTTAGGTAGAGCAGCTGTGGTTAATGTCGCCTTAGATTAAATATTTCTAACATCACACGCTATCCATTAATCTTTAGCGTCTACATTAACCATCATATCTAATGTAAGATAACTAACACATTTGTTTGTGACATAAACAGTTTTGTTAAACGTATAATTTACTAAGATGAGTCACCCACATTTCCACGTGTTAATCGTGCTTTGATTGTCTCTGTATTTTTCACTTACGTGCCATGCTTTGGGGTCTCCCCAGTACCGGCCCACCTTCGCACCCGGTGACCGTGCTTATAACATTCCCCGGTAATGGCAAAACATAGAAATAAAATCAGAGATTTGGTCAAATAACGCATCTTGACTGCGTGAATCTACCGGCGAGTCCCTTAAAAGTCCTTTTCAGACGGTTCATTACAGCAGGAATCAGTCGGTTGCTCATGGTTGTCAGCAGAGGATGGACGTTGTCTCGCTCATGGCATCACACTCTGCCTCACGAGGCAGCTGGAGAGGAACGTGTCTGTGTGTGATCCTGCACTCAGCCTGCACTTATTTCCCGCGAGCGAGAGAGCGCGAGAGGAACATCTGCAGCCTGCATGCACCGAGAGGAAACACACACACATACAAGTAAGACTGCCACTGTGAGGACTGACAGATAATGAATTCCCTGTATCTATGCTAACTCCAACCTTAAACATTACTTTCTGCCTTTCTTAAAAGGTCCACAACAAACGTCAAGACGGTTCTCACAAAGACAGTTCACGCGCGCACACACACACACACACACACACAGACACACACAGACACAGAGACACACACACACACAGAGCGAGATACAGATTATGCTGCTTGGTATGACACAAGAGAGCCAGATTATAACCCCCTCTAAATAAAAAATAAATAAAAACCTCATCACAGGAATCACGTTTCACCCAGCTCAGAGACATGTTGGAACATTTTAAATGCAACCATTCAATGCTGGCTGAAGCATTTCTGGGGATCTGGGCAGAAATATCCACCAAGTCACATGATATCTTATGTTGGTGTGATTCGCAGCTGTACTTAGCAGGAGACCATGCTGCACATGGAGCTCCATCAAAATTCTACTCCTATGACAAAGCCAACATATATTTGTATGAATAATAGTAAACAGTATGTCTTTAGGACCAATCATACATACAAAAAATAGACTAACAAATCAGTACTGATAAGTCCACTTATTTTAGCCTCTCATGTGGGATTGGGTCTATTTGCCTTAGAGCATCACTTCCTGTTCCTGTTACAACACACAGTGGTGTTTTTTAAGGAAAAACTCACAGATAACATCTTATTTCATTGTGTGATCGTCACATGCTTTATCCAAAGTGCATTCTCTCCTGAATCACCCACTAGTTGTTTCACAGTATTTATCACTGTGTCTTTAGAGATGTGTCAGCTTAGTTTAGTTTGTAGCTGACTCGCTAGCAGCATGGCTTCTTCACCTGTCCCTCCTGCACTGTCCTGCTTCTTAGTGTGTCATATGTTTAGCTACTCATTGGCCTCCTTTAATAATAATGATATTTGTCATAAATGCAGCCTGTTTACAACTCTGTAGTCCAGGAATGCTGAGCTGGAGACCTGGCTCCACGCCACTGTAGCTAGCCAGGCCCCTATAGATGGTACGGCTGCATGGAGCATAGCCACCATTAGTTCTCACCCAGCAGGTTGTCCCAAGTGGCTGGTAAACAGGATTGTTGGGTGACAGTCAGGAGGAAGCATAGTCCTAAACAGAAGCCCCTGGTACGCCACCAACAAATTCTGTCTTGAATCATTTTTACCCAGTAAGTGGAACAAACTTTGAATTATTGGCGATTCTAATTTGAGATTATTATTATTGGGCTCCCGCCCTTGGCCCACACACCTGCTCTGATTAGTCCTGTCTCCTCACCCACTATTTGAGTCTGTGGCTCAGAGCGTCTCATTATCGGATCACTGAACACTGAGTTTGTGCAGCCCTGGCATAATCTAAGTTTTGCACGTTGTGTATTTCTGGCTCATTAATACTTGTTTCTGTATATAGATTCCCCGGACCTGTCTGTGAACCTTTCCGTGGATCCCTGAGTGCAGCAGTGTGAGTGGCAGAAGAGGAGCGTGTGTGAGCAGAGGAAGTGTGGAAATATGATTGCTGAAGGAGATGTATGTGGATTCATACAAGAAACATTGGTTCTCTCCCCCAGTTTAAATCCCAACTCAAAACCAATCTGTTCAAATCGCATATTCATTGT